GCAAACATGGTTGGGGGTCGGAGCTTCTGAATCACGTCATTAAGGGAGTCACAAGGCAGTTGGGGGTTTCTTTTGCACCCATGAAAGGTCCCATGCATCATAAGAGCTTGTTTTATGTTTTTTTGAGCTCAAAGTCCCATGCAAGCACGTAAAGTTTGTAACTTTACGTGCTAGATCGATTGTAGAAGCTTGGATCTATCTTTTGATCAAAGGTTGTACATCAGATGTTGAGGATTTAGAGTGCGGACGTGACCGACTCGGCGAGTCCGTTCCTGGGACTCGAAGAGTTCAAGGCTTTGAGTCCCATATCTGCTGAGGGATAAAAGAACTCAGTTGAGTGTTAGAAGGGTTGTAACCAGGCAGAAAGAGTGACCCAACGCAGTGGACGTAATTTTAGACCTGGGGTTCATGGGACTCGACGAGTACTAGAACGGACTCAGCGAGTCCAAGGCAATCTCCTTAAGATTGAAGATGAACTCGACGAGTTGTTTATACAACTCGGCGAGTCGAGGACAGGACTTATTCATCAGATGAAGGTGGACTCGACGAGTGTTCATACAACCCGGCGAGCCGGATGAGTTTCATACGATGCCAAACTCGTCGAGTCGATGCCAAACTCGACGAGTCGATGCCAAACTCGACGAGTCGAGTCATGGATAAGGACGAGTAAAGGGTTAGGTACTCGGTGAGTTGACGGCCCAACTCGGCGAGTCGGGTCAACTTGAAGTTGACTTTGACTGGACTTGGACTAACCCTATTTAGGGTTGCGCGTTGCTGTGTGTTGACTTGAAGGTTGTCGTGTAGGGATCGAGGAGTCGAAGGGAGTCGACTTGTGCACCGAGGATAATTCAAACACTGCACGACATTGAGGTGAGTTACCTTCCAGTAGGGGTGGGTCTACGGCCACAATGTCGGCCCACCAAAAAGGGGTATTGTAACGCCCGGTTTTCAGGGCTAAGCATTTTTGACGATGTAATAGTCTAGGTCAACTATTGTAACTCTTTTTGATGTAATAAAGATGAAATATTTTAATTCTATGTGATTTATGTGTATTTGTGTGCTTATTACTTTATTATAAATATATAATTAATAAAAGATAAAAATAAGCGTCAAAAATTAAAGTGTGAGATAAGCCCTATATCTCTACATAAAGTTGTAGTGGTCGAAACAAGGATTCCGGGGATATAAAGAACGCCGAAATTCGAGTTATAACGAAGAAGTTATGGCTCGCCGAAGTTTTACGGCAAAACCGGCACGGCACCGGGAGACGTAAATAGTGAATTTACGATGAAGGACTTTTTAGCCTTAGTGATCTAAACTAAAGTTGTAGTATATGTTAAATCGAGAACATCCATAAAAAGCCCAAATCCGACTTCGTATGAGGAAGTTATGATTTTTCTAAGATTCGGCTTAGCAGTGCACGACCCGAAACTCGAATTTTAGTTCGAGCGGTTTTTGACTTACGCGACCTAAATGAGAGTTGAATATCTCATTAATAGGAACTCAACGGTAAAAAGACAAGAAAACAGAGTCCGTATGTAGAAGTTATGAATTTTACGCGGACGTTTAACAGTATAATCTCCTTGTACTGTTAAATTTAAGATCGGTCGAGAATTAGCCGACGGAGTAAAAATGAAAGTTGTAGATATTATTTTTACCTACGCGTGGATATAAAGAACGTCAAAAACGGAGGTCGTAAGTGAAAGTTACGGATTTTAGAAGTCGGAAGTGTGCTGTGCGAAAATGGGTGATGTAGCACAATCTTGGCCATTGCTTTCTCCCCAAGTCTTGCCACTAGATGGTGACATGTGGCACCAAGTTCAGCCAATTTTCACCCTATAAATAGAACCTCTCCCACCCTCATTTTCTTCACACCTTTCCCATTCTTTCTTCTCTTTACTCTCTCTCTAGAACCTCTCTCTAGCCCCGAAACCCCCCGAAAAGTCTAGGGAACCTCCCTAGCACGAGGCGGAAGCCCTGGAGTGCTCGAAGGCTCCGAGAAGAAGAGTTTTTCGGCTCGGGAACGCTGCTCCAAGCAAAGCCCGGTTTTCTATAAAACCCGTTGTAAGTGAGCTACGCCTACGCTATTTTTAATATATCGTTTATTTAATTATAGTAACGTTATTAGGAACTTATAATAAATATTTGGGCTATTATTATGGGTTATATAAGTATTGTTTGACGCTTATATAATAGTAATAATAGCTAGACTATTAATTAGTCTCGGCGAATAATAGACTAAACTCTAGTGTTAATAATACTAGGTTTCGTCGAAGGAAATTATTTTTAAGAAGCGAAGCGTTGTCTGAGTTCAGATTCACCACCTTTTGAGGTGAGTGCATGGTCCCTTTCATCTTACACATAAATATGAAGTATTTAATATAAATTACGTGTTGTGAGTGCATATTTACTTTCATCTTACACATAGATATGACGTATTTTATATAAATTACGTGCTACGTGTGCATATTGTCTAAATACTTGTTGTCTATGCTGGATGAACGATTTTATACATGTTTTAAATGATTTAAATTGTATATGTATTTTATATCTACAAATAATGTTGGGTAAAACATGGGTAGATGACTGATGAGGGATGAAGGCTGAAATAGAGGAACATTAGTAGTGTGGACCTAGTGCCCTATAGGTAAACATTGGCAGCAATGGACCTAGTACCCTATAGATGAGCACTGACAGCTGCGCCAAAATCTATAGATGTTTTAGATCTACGATAAACATCCTAGCAGTTGGGCTCTAAGGATAGTATCGGCAACTGCGCCTAATAGAGAACAATATAACCATCACAGTAGCGTCTAAAGGACTATACCGGCAGATGCGCCTCGTAGAGAATGTCACAATTTTGGCAGTTGCGCCTAAGTGACATAACTAGCAGCTGTGCTTGACAAATGTGTCATTGACAACGATGGAATTCGTACCTATTCCTTAGGATAATCCTTAGGAATGAATGAACGAGAAATAGTTGATTCTTAGGGTAGATCCTAAAGAATAAAGAAGATAATGGGGATGGGTAATGGGGTTTAATTGTTTGATTGTTTAAACATAATAATTATATTATTGTGGGTTGAAAACCCTATGTACTCACCAGGTTTCCCAACCTGACCCACTCCAGCTTATTTATATCTCAGGTGCTGATATGAAGTCACATTACACTGAGAGATTAAAGAGATGTAGATCACTATTGTAAATAAAAGTAAGTTCTGTTTATGCTTATGTTTCTGTATTGACGATGACATCCCAAACTTCTTGAAATGAATAAAATACAAAAATGTTTTAATAACGTATTTATCATGTTTTTTTTTCTGGGAACAAATTCCGCAACATTTTTATGAAAAGAAGTACTCTAATTTTTAAAGAGCATAAACAAAATCGGTCTTTTATGGCCGTGAAAAATGGGGATGTCACAGGTATTTAGAAAATGATTGTCTTTGTGATAGTTATCTTGGTTTGGTTATGTGTTTGATTATGAGATTTAAATGTATGGCATGTTATGTGAGTAGTAGGGATTAGTTTCCCTGACAGTGGTCCTTAGGACCTAGGGGTAGGTCATTACCCAGATATGCCTGACTGTATGCTTATATTTGTTGTTGCATGCTAGTGGTAGGGGTGAAATAGTCCCCAGTTACCGGTTGAAAGATACTGATGATGATTACCGGTTTAAAGATACCGACGAGGGTTACCGGTTGAAAGGTACCGATGAAGTTTACTGGTTGAAAGATACCGACGATATTGTATGGTATGTGGTATGATGGGAGAACTCACTAAGCTTTATGCTTACAGTTTCGGTTTTGGTTTCAAGTACCTCTTCGTCGAAGGGGAAGGAGCCAGCGGGGTAGCAGCGCATCACACACACACATGGTTTCTGCATTGATTTTAGGGGACCGTACTCTGATTTTCATTACTTTTGATGTTATGGTTTGAGACACAATATTATGATTTCGTAATGTGATGTTTTATCGACAATGTTTTTGTTAAAAGGTTTATTAAATATATTAGTTCAAAAATGAAATTTTCGGGCTTAAATTTTGGGTCGTTACACAGCAGCATGCATGCATTACCAAGACTGTCGTAAGCACTTAGCTAGCGTGGCAATCCATCTATGGCTTCATCAGGACTGACTTACTTGTATACGTGTACGTGCTTTGGACATGGTTTCTGATATTTTGATCAGAATACCGTGTACACACCAATTTATAAACTTAGAAACGATAACTTACATGCAAACACTAGTAGAAAACTGACTCAATAGCAACAACACAATCCGTAGCTATTCCGTAGCTATAAGTGGATGGCTGCGGAATTGCTACGGAAAAATGTTTGTAACATAATGGCCCGCGGCTAAATTATAGCTACAGATTAGCTATTGAATCGCTATAGAATTTTCCGTAGCTACCATAGCTACGGAAATAAATAGCTACGGATTTGCTACAAAATAGCTACGGAAATGGATAGCTACAGAATAGTTACGGAACTAAATAGCTACGGAAATAAATAGCTACGGATTTTTTGTAGGTAATACGTAGCTAATTACTTTTTATTTAAAAAAATAGTAAAAAGTTATTAAAAAAATCCAGTTTTTTCTATTCAAAATATTGAAAAAACCCATTACATTAAACTTATAATAATATTGAAATTCAACTACAAAAAAAATAACATTATAATAAAACTAATAAACCTAAAAAAAGTATCACATACAAATACGTATTACTAGTGAACATTCTCTAATAATACATTAAATATGTCTAATAATACACATTAAAAGTGTATACTACAAATGGTTAACTAAGTGCTTACAAACATAAAATTGACAATTACTTGGCAAATTATCGGGTATGTTGAATCGATAAAGGGTGACAAGTGGTCATCAATTTGAGTTTTGAATCAAAGGCCGCCAATTATTCCTGTTTCAACACACTATAATCAATGATCACGAAAAAAATACAAATATAGCAATGTACTTTTACTTATTTGTTTATTCACTACTACAAATTAGCTTCTGATCTTGTTACAAGATTTCCAACTACATACTCTTCTGTCATTTCAAGAAACTCTGAAACACATCTCACCATGGAAATGCTTTTTGTTGATAATTCGAAGTTAATTCCATACAAAAACTTTGCTGCAATTTCAGATCCAAAAGAGATTTCAGTTACCAAAAGATCAGAATCTTTGAGGTTGGATACTAATTTCCTTATGTAACCATACTTTGAAAGTTGAAACATATGGATACTTCATAGAGTCAAATAAATAAAGTATAAGCTTACATAAGAGGAATAATATCAAGTGGGTATACATGAATTATACCTTGTATAATGAAAAAAAAACACATCCTGTATGGATTGTAACATCAGTTAGGATCTCTTGGGAGAAAAGTCTGTTAACATTGAAAAAAAGTCTCGTTAGATCTCACTGTTATTAAAAAAAACTCTATTTAGATATTCAATATTGAAAGTATAAAAGAAAACAAATTGAGAAGATTGAAAGAAAACCAGTCATAGGTTTTCTTCATGAAATTAGTCAAAAGTTGCTCACTTTAGTCTCTTGGCGTGCTCTGGACAGTGAATTCTCTTTTGTAGAACATCTATTAGGACAACAATTGATTAATTATATCATTTTACTAAACTATTTTCTTTGTTGGTTTTGAAACAACCATAAAACAGGGAGGAAAAGATGAACCTTTTATAGCATTTTAAGCATGAAATACAAAGAAAATCGGTTGACTTGAAGCATCAAACAAGAACCTGATGACAAATTTTCAAATGGAAGCATCAAAAGAAATTAGTTTTGAAGCATCAGGCAAAAATCTGGTGGTTTTCAAACAATAAACTATAAGCATCAAACACAATCTGATGGCAGACCTTCAAATGGAAAAATCTCATGGCTTGAAGCATCAAACAATAAACTATAAGCATCAACCTAGGAGCATCATACATAACTCAAACAACCATGGTTTGAGTCTAATTCCAAACAGATTTGAAGAATTGGAGTGATAACCTTGGTCGCCTGGATAACAGATGGAGCAGAGGAGTTTGAAGAAGGCATGAACAGTTTGAAGAAGGCATCGAACTGAACCCAAAATCGAAACACACCCTAAATCAAAACAAAGTCTAAATCAAAATCAATCCTAACCCAAAACGAAAACCTAATTGGAATTAAACCAAAAAAAGCTTACTTGGAACAATGATGACAATGGTGATGGCAAGCAGAAGATGGTGATGGCAAGCCGATGATGGCAATGACAAGCAGATGACCGGAGCTAAAAAGGGCGACGATGAATCGATGATGAAGATATACGGATTTGGTGATGGCGATGAGAGATGACCGGGGCTAAAAACAATCTCTATGTACAACATTGACAGCAGCGGCGGTAAGATGGAACTCCGACGATGAAAACGAAGACGAGAGGGGGTGTAAGGGGGAGGTGCGAGTAGGAAACAGTGAGAGAGAAGAGGGAAAACGAATCAGGGAGGGAAAACGAATCAGGGAGGGAGATAGAGAGAAGCGGGAGTATAAAAAATTCTGTCGATGGATAACTCGAGTCTATCATAGATACAACCAAGAAGAATACCAACCGGTCGGGGCAACCATTGACTTGTTTTCTAAATAGTCTTTTTTTAGTTTAACCTAAGGCATTGTTGTGCGGCTAAAAAAAATTGACTTAGGGAATGAAAATACCCAACTACACTATATATGATCTATGATAGAAAAAAAGATTACCACATCCATACCTTCTTTGTCTACAATAGGTTTTGACCACTTCCAATTCAGTTATTATTATTATGAGTATTATAATTATTATTATTATTATTATTATTATTATTATTATTATTATTATTATTATTTCTATAGTTATTATTATTATTATTTCTATTATTATTATAATATTTATTATTATTATTTCCATTATTATTATTATTATTATTATTATTATTATTATTATTAATTATTCATTATTCAAGTCTTAATTTTTTTTTTTTTGGATAAATTTTCTTACATATTTAAGACACGAACAATTAATGAGAAGTGTGAAATAAACGAAGAAAACGACCTTTGGTTGTCGAAAAATCAAAATTAAAAAACCTCGTAGCTAACTAACTACAGATTAGCTACATTTTTTTTATTTTCGATTTTTCGGGCACCAAACTTCGTTTTATCTGCTTCGATCCCAGCCAGGGGCTCTGCCCCTTGGACCCCGCCAGGGGCGCTGCCTCCAAACCCCCGTTCGTTTAGGGGCTTCTCCCCTAAATAACAATGTACTTTGAATCTTGAAAAACTTGAACAAGTGTGCACTCCAACACCATCCTAACTTGTTTAATATTCAACAAGATCACTTTTGGTCAACAATTTTAATCATATTACACTTAAATAATATTGATGATATAAAATCACCAACAAACCTCCCCATTTAAGTGTAATCCTGATTAAACTTAAAACAAAACATAAACAACAACAAACTGATGCATAAATGAAATGTCGTGACGATTGAATTTCACATTAGTATATTACTCAATCCAAATATTCGAATATAAGGGTGTCACTAAGGATTGAACCCTTTCTGATGGTGATGGTGATGGTGATGGTGATTGTGGTGATGGTGATGGTGATGGTGATGGTGATGGTGATGATGATGATGATGATGATGATGATGATGATAATGATGATGATGATGATGTTGATGATGATGATGATGATGATGATGATGGTAATAGGGATGATGATGATGATGATGGTGATGGTGATGGTGATGGTGATGGTGATGGTGATGGTGATGATGAGGATGATGATGGTGATGATGATGATGATGATGATGATGATGTTGATGGTGATGATGATGATGATGATGATGATGGTGATGGTGATGGTGATGGTGATGGTGATGATAATGATGATGATGATGGTGATGGTGATGGTGATGGTAATGATGGTGATTGTGATGGTGATGGTGATGGTGATGGTGATGGTGATGATGATGATGACGATGATGTACGTGTATATATGTATGTATATGTGTTTGTGAGTATTTGTATGTGAATCCCTACTTCTAATAAAAGACTCTAATTTTGTCTACGTGTTAATTTCTTATAATTTACAATTATTTTGCACATACATTCTAAAAACTAGGCAAATGCTCGCGCGTTGCGCAGAAACATCTATATAATTGAAATCTTTACAAATATATGTTTTTTTTAATATAACAATAACGTTGTAGTTAAATTTCATATAATAATTCGAATACTAAAATTAAATAATATATGGATTATTTTGAATTATATGATAATATATATACATCTATTACAACTGCACAATCTCAATCGTTTGAATGACTTCTACCAACGAATTACTCATGAATAAAGTTAAATTTAATATATGGTTTAATGTTATTTATAATTGTTGTTATTGTTAATTAATTTTCTAGAATTTATTTGCTTATCGTTTTAATTTCTATTATTATAATTATTTAAAATATCAAACATTGTTTTTTTATTTATTTTATTTGTTTTAAAGGTAACAATATAATCACTTATATAGAGTTATTTTTAACTATTGTTATTGTAAGTTATTTTAAGCTACTTATTTTAAACTTTTAGTGATTATAAAAATATCTTTAGGAAATATTTTAGTTAAATTGAGATTACAATTTAGTTTTTGCATTTAGCACTATAATTTATCACTTTTAATTATTCACAAAATATTCTTTAGGTTTTTTTAAGTGAAAGTGAAATTTATATTTAAGTTGGCACTGTAATGTTATATTTAAATTAACAATTTAAATATTTTGTCAAAACTGTTCAAAAGGTGTAGCGTTAAACTCATAATGGTTTACATACAACAACATATTAAATCTAATAAATTATCATATGTTAAAAGTTAAAGAGATAACTTTATAAGTAGAAGTAAAGATATTATTTTAATATTGAAATTTAGTTTATTTATGATTACACTTTAGGTTTGATATTTATTCAACATTATAAACCAACTTATAATCATTATTAGAAAGATACTACAATTTATCACTTTTAATTATTTTCAAAATATTCTTTGGGTTGTTTAAGTTAAACTAAAATTTATATTTAAGTTGACCTGATAATGTTATATTTAAATTAATAATTTAAGTATTTTATATACATTGTTCAAAAGTTGTAGCTTTAAAATGATAATTGTTTACATTCAACAATATATTCAAACTAATAAACTAAGTGTAATATGTTAAAAGTTAAAAAACATAACTTTATATGTAGAAGTCAGGATATTCTTTTAATATTGAAATTTAGTTTATATATTATTACACTTTAGGTTTGATATTTATTTAACCTTATTAACCAACTTATAATCATTATTAGAAAGAAATTGAAAAGTCATGGGAGTTTCAAATGAATGTGGTGAAAGGAAAAATGCATGTGAGTTTCAAATGAATGTGGTGAAAGAAAAATGCTTCCTTTATAAGTATATAATGATGATTACACGTGTACTCATGTGCTCACTTTCCCGCTCATTCGCTCCATTGTCTCCCAATCTCCCGTCTCGGCGCAATTCTTGCTCAATCACATTTTATGATCCCGAAATCATCGTGAAGCTCAATATTGAAATCCCCACTTCTCCTCACTAAATTATCTTCTCATCACTCCACCATAATTGTGTATTAAAAATCAGAATACCTAACCTCTTATTTATTTCTTATTTCCTACTAAAGATGCTATACAGTTTGTTTTTTTTTCCCATTAAAACCCTAGCCCCTTATTTGCTTATTACATCCCTTAAATAGTAGGGTTTAAGCTTTTTGAAATTCAAATTTGTTTACCTCTTCTGAAATCACATCGAACATTATCGTTCTCCTTAAAACCCTAAAATGACGACCATTAATGGAGTTTTTATTTATTTATTTATTTATTTATTTATTAGGATACAGGCCACGCAAACCATGAAGTTTTGGATGAAGAAAACAAATTCTCGACCTGGGTAAACTTTCTTCAGTTTTGGTTGTTTTTTCTTATGGTTTTGCTTATATGTTTTTGTTTAGCTTATTTAATGCCCATGTATCAATTTTGTTGCTTCCATTTAAAGCCCTAGATTGATAAAAGTCCATTTTGTTGCAATCTTTCAAATCTTCAATTAAGGTTTAGGTCTTGATATTGATGCGTGAAGAACATGGCTATGGAACAAGATAAACGAATCAGGCCTGGGTTGATTCGTCGCTATATATATTAGCAACAAACTTTCCCCATGAAAACGAGATTATAGAATGATGTTTCTTTACAGGTTCTTTTGCTTCCTCTTCTAATTTGTTGGGGCGTATTATGTTGCGTCTTAGGGCTTTTTGTAATATATCTGGATTGGGTCTGTCTATCCGTGATTATCTCGTAGGGTTAGATTATATATATGCATGCATGTATGCATTATTGTTAGATGTTTTTAATTACGCTTGAGTTTTGTAACCCTAAAACACCTCTACAGTTGAAGTTCTTAATCGAGCTCTTCTGAGGTGTTGAAGCATTAATCATTCAACGTATTCAAGCCATATTCGTATTTATATTTACGTACTTCTTTGTCTGCATGCTTAGAATCAATCGATCCTGAAAGAACTTTGTTCTAACAATTGGTATCAGAGCAGGAGACTGTGTGATCAATACACATTCCTTATGTATTCAGAATTCCTTAGGGTTTCGACTTTTATCGTATAAATAAGAAGTTGTCTTCTTTGTTTCGACGACAACTTTCTTTTAGATAAAACCCTAATCTCAAGTTTACAGGTTTGATTCTAAAAGCTCACCATGTCCCACGAAGATTCGCAAACAAATCCCATCAATATCTCAAACAGCATTGGATCTACAACCAGGATACCCATTCTCTACACTCAAGACTACGAAGTATGGGCACATCACTTTGAAGACTATGTGGTTGGATCTGAAGAAAACGGCTATCTCATCTGGGAAGCTATCATACTTGGGCCGTTTGTTCATTCAGGAACAAACACAACCGTCAAGACACAAAAGGAATATAACAAGTTGGTTGCTGATGAACAGAAGATGCCACAGGATGAAAAAGACAAGCTGCTGTGTAATGTGAAGGCCATGAGAATGATAAGATTCGCCTTGCAATCTGACATTTTTCGATTGGTCGGTTCATGCACGACGGCTAAAGAAATATGGGATAGGTTGAAGGAGCTTTATTCGACTGATGAAGATCTGGAACACTCCATTCAAACCTTGCTACTATCAAAATTTGGAGTTTTCGAACAGAAACCGGAGGAGAAGCTAATACAGACTTTTGATCGGTTCAATCATCTCTTGAGTAAGATCATAAAGCATGGAATAGAGAGGAAGTTGATTGAGCAGAAAGTAACGTTCATGAATGG